CAGCAATGTGCCTCGTTGCTAGAAATGAGCCGCACATTCTGGAGTTTGAATGCTTAAAGCGACCCACCTCCAACAGCAGCGCCGGGGGAGGAGCATGCGGTTGGGGGCGCGCACACACACACACACACACACTCACACACACACGTATCTAAATAACCACCTTTAATACTGACACCACTCTCACACTCATGTGGTTTTAATCTTTTTCTTTTATAAAGTAAATATCAAGCAGGCTGTGAACAGACAGATTTGTGAACTGGATCTGACTGTATTATTTATTATACTCCCAGGGGTGCAACTAACAATTATTTCCATTGGCCAATAATCAATAAGTCTATTAAATTGGGAAAAATGCCAATCACAATTTCCTAAAGCCTACAGCGATGCCATTATCATCATCATCATCATCTTGTTTTCAGTCCCAACCCCGAACATATTCTGTTTACTGTCAAATTAGTGAAAGATATTTGATATTTTTTGTTTTTAAAATTGTTATCAAAACTCATCATTTCAGATTAGTTTTATTCTTATATATTATTTTCTTCCAAATAACTACATCTCTAACAGCCATTAAGGTTGTTGGGTTTGTTTTTTACACCAACTCAGATGAGCTGTAACTGTTTTATGGATTGTTATAAAAAAAAATAATAAAACTTTAAAAAAATATAAGATACTGGCCACACTGTAGAAAAGATTTCTCATCTTATCAGGTTGTAGTTTAGTCTTTAAATTTAGATTTTCCTTAAATGAAACAAATCTGCCGTCTAGTTCATCTCTAAGGAACATCAAACTGTTTCTGAAATCAGGTCCAGTGTTCCCCTCTTCATCTGCAGCGATCTCCTTGATTCTTGTTTCAGGACGCCACTTCTCATCTATAGAAAACTACTGGAAGCAGGTCAAACTCTTCTCATTGAACCGGCAGATTTCTTTTTTCACTTGTTTTAAGGAAGGAAGGACACAAATATGGACAGAGATGACTTCATGAGATCAAGAGTTTTGCAGTGCAATCAATGCATGATACAGATGTGATGCATCTTCTTGATTTACACACAGTTTGTGATGTAATAGTTATAATGAATGCTGCACTTTGCGCCTGAACCGATTCTAATTGAACAAGTTCTCATTTATGTTTGCGTCTTTTATAAAAGTTTGAAAAACGGTGAAGTTTAAGGTTGAATCTTGGCACTTAAAATAATTTATAAGCATTAAAACCTGAAATATTGGTAACTGCATCAGCCTTGAAATCTATGTTGGCCAAACTCCCCATGTACGTCTACACTGACATAAAAAAAAAAAAAAAAAAAAGCTCTGACTTGCAGCCAAAAGAAAATTGAGCCAGACTCAACAAGGCATCACTCACTTAATAAAACAATACTCTCTCCATCCATTCTTCAGGTATTGTTGTTAAAATAACTGGAAGCCTGTAGTTAAATGTTTTATTCTGAAATTCAGGTTTCCAAAAATAGTCAAAGTTGTAGATAATGCAAAGTGAACTGCAGGTTGCATTCCCCCACCCCTCCCTGCAAGCCACACACACCCCCACACACACACACACACACACACACACACACACACACCAACGCAAATTTTAATCACACAGTTAATAATTAATCAGAGGTTGGGCTCAATACTGTCGATTCTGCAGATGAGAGAACACCCAACTGCTGAGAAGGGCCCTAAAAAAATAAAATAAAATAAAATAAAATAAATAAAGATGATAAAAAGTTCATCATGAACCAATAAGCAACATGTCATCAGTTTAGGTTTGATTTCATCCAATGGAGGAGAAACACAGATGCTGCAGTGGCTCAAACACGCAGAGTTGAATCCATTTCTATAACCAAAAATAAAATAATGAATAAATAAAAAGCCACTGTCTCTGCAGCTCCACAGAGGTAGAGAAAGGGAAATGAAGCTGTCTCTTCTACGTGACATTTTCTACATGCAAATATGAATAAATGTGATTATTGTGCTCTGTTCACTGCATGTAAACACCATGAACACCATAACAAACTCATTACAGAAGAATAGGTCAGGGATGTGTCTTTGTTTGTCCACTGTGTTGTCCAACAGTAAAAAAAAAAAAAGAAAGAAAAAAACCACCCCGCACATTGATTTTAATGTACTGCACTACTCTGGAATTGATCATAACAAACACCAATGATCGTTTTCTTCCATTTATTTATTCCCAGTGATGCATTAAATATTTGCCAATGCTGTTTCTTTATTAGCCTCTCTGTAGTCCCTCTGCATGCTCTGTGTGTTCCCAGTGTTGCAGCAGAAAGCGGAGTGTTTACCCAGCTGTAATTACAACATGCACAATGACCTCATTCTGCTGTGTCAGTCGCAGTAATGTATAGCCCTTGATCTTAAACTGCAAAGAAAAATGGTATGCACTTATTTTCAATATGCTGACTACATTCCCGGCATTTTTTAGACATGGCCGTGACGGCAGATCAGAATTTGATATAAGCACTGGTGCTCCTATTCATCTGACAAGGTCTCTCCGCCTTAATATGCATTCAATAATGTGAAATGATATTAGCTGTAGGAGCTCATTGACTGTGCACTCGGGGTCTCACCGTGTCTCTCCGTCTCTGTCTGTATCATGCTCTTTATCTGTTCCTCTTCCTCTCTCTCTCTCACGACAACACACAGGGTACACAGAAGAAATGGAAAAAAAAAAAAAAAAAGGGGGGGGGGGGGGGGTTTGAACCGCAGATAGCAACAGCAGCAGAGCAATCACACCGAAGAAATGCCCCCCACGCCTGGCCCATTAATAACAGTAATACGCACACCGCGCCCAGGCCAGCACTGCCGAAAGCGCCACTGACACTTTAATGGGCATTTTTTACTTTTGTTTTTAAATAATGCATGTGCTGCTTGTCAGCACTGTTTCACTCCACCCCTGGTGTGCCTTTGCAGCGTTCCTTTGTGCAGAAATTACAATGGGGACCTGTGTTTTCTGTGCTTGCTCCATAAGCTGCATTCATCACATACATGGGGACGTCAGTGTGCAGTACATCACCCTCTCGGGGACGCGTGTGTGGGCACGCATGCACGCGTGTTTGTGTTTGTGGAGGCCGCTCATTGGCGCCGAGCTAATTAAGGGTGTCTTTGAGAGGATGAACTGCGTGCTGAGGCGGCGCTGGACAGGACTTATACAGGAGGGCTGATGCGATACCTTTCACAGGAGGCTGGACGTTATGTCACAGTTGTCGCGTGTCTGTCAAGCGTCATGCTACTGTTACATTTATTTAAAGCCTCACAGAGCCGAAGTGCAACTGGAACTCCTGGGTTCTGATCCACTATAAATCCAGTCCTATAAAATTATTGAACAGTATGTCATGTGGTTCACTCCACATACACACACACACACACACACATATATATATATATATATGTGTGTATATGTGTGAGTTCATTTAATATTTATGTTTTTAGCATTTCCCGCAAACCTCAGGACTTTTGTAGGTTAAAGGTCCTCTGAAGGCAGCTGAGTGGAGAGCTATGAGAGTGGGCAGGGAGGGCCAAAAAGCTAAGATGTTTCTTTTTTAGATTTTTAGAGATTACAGGGAAAATATTGAAAAAGTAACTTTAAAAGAAGAGGATCAGTGGATACAGTCGCCGGGCAGAAACCAAGGAACAAACCAACCAAAGTTAAACAAAGAAAAATCTTGATGAAACAAATCATGACGGATCAATAGTTTTGTAGTTTTGATGATGTAATGATTCTCATTCAAATCTGGTCAGTTATTTCTTTATTCCTGTATTTTTGAACTTGATTATATATGCACTCATCGTCAAGTGAAGGATTGCTTTGTGTTGTGGACTAACCTCCTGCTTCCTGTTGCTGTGTTTGAGTAAAGTCGCTGTTTGCTTGTGTACCTGCTGTAAACGGAGAACATTATGGCTTTATTTGCATCGTGATCACACATTCGCCACAGCTTCTAATCTGTTCTGGAGCCGACCCAAGGACGCATTTACGTGCAGCAAGAGCTTTGTGGGAGATGTAGTATTTTTGAAGCCAACAAATACTTGAAACTGTTGTATCGCGTACTGTAGAAGATACTTCTACTGAGAACACCTAGAAAAACAGAAGGAAGAAAAACGCTGAATCCTTTTAGCTGACAGATATCAGCGGCAGCAGCAACGACAAGTTACAGACGAAAACATAAAGCATTAGTAAAATTATGAGTTAATCACAATGGCAGCATCACTTGCTTGGGTTAACAACTCTATAAGCATTATTGAATACGGGCCTGGGGGGGGGGGGGGGGGGGGGGGGCTGCAAATAATGTAATCCTCCTCAATCCGCCTCAACATTCCTCCTGTGTAAACACTTTTAAGATCCTAATATCAGCGCAGAAACAGTTGCTTGTCTTGTAACAGGAGTGCGTAAAAATAAAAAAGAGAGAACAATAAAACGCTATCATGTTACATTTTTACAATGTTTGTGCCTCTGTAAAGCTGCTTTACTATCACTCAGACTAATTTTAACTTTTTTGATGGTAAACTCTGAAGTGTCACTTGTTTTTGGGCTTGTGCAAAAAAAAAAAAAAAAAAAGAGAGCGCTTCTACAACGCGAACGCTTTTAATGTGACGACGAAGCGCTTACAGACACTTGGTGCTTTTTTCAAGGTGTTTCTCTCCGTCCTCTCACTTCATGCTACAGTTTTGTTATTTTACTGTTGTTAGATCAGCTTCACTCAGTTGTGCAACTTTATTGATTCTAGACAGGCTACCTATCCGTATTCGTCATTACATGTAAGGTCAATAAACCTCCGAAATCAATATTTATAACAATCGATGCTGCATTCTCTATTATTTCTCTTCCTGTGCAATGATTTCCTTTGATTGAATTTGCCTTTTTTTTTTTTTTTTTTTTTTTTTTTTTTTTGTTCAGCGTAGTGTCTGGCTGCTGGAGTGCATGCACTTGCCCCTTGCTGCTTCCTGTCCGTTTCAATGACGCCTGGCTGTGTTTCTCTGTGTCCCTGCAGGAAACACGTTGTGTAAGTCAGGAAGCATTGCTGTCTTCGGGAACGTGGTATACAGCGGACTGCTGAACGATCACCTCTGGCATTTGGGAGTGCCCCTCTTTACAAGACTGGTAAGAGCAGCAGGCCCCTCTGTGCACACTTACCTCCATTTTGTCGGAAGAGTTTCATGCAGTTGGGTTGAACCCAAACAGGCTTCAGGTGCTGAATTCCCCCAAGTCCCTAATGGGCTGCTTTTGATGCCTGCTCTGTTGACATGTGTTGGTTTAAGTTATACTCAGGATGTGACAGTCGTCTGCTGTGGATGTAAGACTAGGGAAGCCCATCATATCTTAGCATCTTGTTTCATATCAGACTTTTTAAAAGGTTTTCTGTGCTCTCTGAAGGCTCGAGCTTCAGGTAGGGAAGTCCCATGTGAGGCATAACAAAGATGTGTTTCCGCAAGCCCTAAAACACAGGTGAAGCCGTTCTGTGTATGGACTCATATTTCCCCCGTTGAGGCTGGCCTGGTGTCTAGTTTCCACTGAAAAAAGGTCAACCAAATAATTCATGAAATGTAGTGTTATGACAACAGCTTTAAAAAATGACAAGGTTTTAATTAAGAGCTGGGTTAAATGAAGTTCTGTGTTCAGAGTCGATGATAAATGTCTGTCTTTAGTTTGTTTTGCACTGACTCTCACTGGTGCCGGGATGTGAGATTCTAGTGAACGCCTAGTTGAAACCACAAGGACCGCAGAGCAGTTTTCCTAAAGAAAAAAGAAATTCAGCACAGCACTTTTTCTTCCTGTTAATTACCCTCTTTCGAAGCGGGTCGCAAGTTTTCATCAATGTTTATTATTGATGAAATCTGTCGTTGTAGCTGTCATTTATGAGTCGGGAATTACTGTTGATTGGTGCACAAGGGTTGCATATAATTGGGTTACATTAAATAGATAATTCAGCTGATCTCATAAATGTCTAATGTGAAGGCTTGTTTGATTATCAATTAATGTCAAACGGAGATGCAAGAGAGGCTGTTAGGATTCCAGTTGGGTTTGCTTGTGTTCCAGTGAAATATATATATATATATATATATACTATATTTGATATAATACACTGTATGTGTTAATGAATTCAAAGTAAAACTCAAGCGTGCATGCACTGACACACATTATACACTGTAGCCAATAAACAAGTCTTTGAAAGATCTAACAAATGATAAAGACATCAAACATGACAGCTGGCAGAGATTTCAATTAAACAGAAATTTTACATGTCCACCTGTTCTCATGAAGAGCACGCAGAAACAAAACTGATATTTTCATGTTTCAAAAGTCAGTTCACTGCAGCGTTTTGAAAACATGGTATTTAATAGTTCTTTGGAATTATTGACGTAGAAACAAATCTCAGTCTTTAAGGGCTTTGTCTTACCCTGATGATGTCATAGTGATGTAATCAGGGTTATGGCATCATGGGCCTGCAAACACATGTTTTAACGGAAAGCCTGCATTACAATCAGGAGATTTAGATATGAGGGTGATATACTGCAACTTATTTTCAGACAGGTCCCAGTATTTCTACAGCAGCATGACGCCAACATACAAAGGGTTAATATGAAGGTGTGCATGAACACATGGATCACACACACACACACACACACACACACACGTTTCTCATGTTGGGAAGACAGCTAACAACCGCTGTCATCGCGTTTACATCCTCTGCGCCCCACATTGGACCGCTGAGTAACGGCTGAGCTCGCAGGCTGCAGCAGGCGCTCGTCAGAGTGGAAGGTACGACGTCCCGCCGTGGCGGAAAGGTGTGGCCTCGTGTAGCACTCGGCGTGCCTGCTGCCGTCACAACAGGTCCGCCCGGCAGTGGTATCAGCATGACATGCAGCAAGCCTTCACATCCCCAACACACAGCCCCTAATTACCGCACAGCCCTGCCAGTTTGCAGCCCTGGGCCAGTATTGCCTGCTCAATGCCGAGATGTAAACACTGCATTATTAACACTGCATACAGTCTGTGCACACGGCTATGTTTAATACACTCCACGTATGTCTGCACGGAGGCGTTACTTTAGTAGGATTCTTTACGTGGAGCCATATGATAGATTTATTGTTTTACACACAGTGAGCTCCAAAATCAGCAGATGGGCGATTTGCTGCGTATAGTGTAATGTATGCTTACAAATGATGTTTAATGATGTCTTCCAGGGCCGGGAAGCAAAACATTACCGTTTTCAAGGCTAAATATGCAGGCTATGTCAGAAAGCTGGAGTTAAATCAAATAAGGAACATCGTGTATTTTTTCTTGTTATTTTATGCATATTTATCGGCTGTCAGGATGGTCTTGATGGTATAGCACAATTTCCCATCATGAAGGTCTAAATGCCCCTTCACACTATCAGAATTAAACAGTCTGGAGGAGGACATGTGGATCTTTTATGTATTTATTTGTCTCGTTGGCTTTAAAGCGGTCACATTTGAATATGTTGACTCTAAAAATTCTTGAATAAGCCAATTAAACTCACAGTGTATAAAACTCCCCCAGGTGCTTAAAACTGTTCAGTATAAGTAAGAATAATAATAAGACGTGACTTTAGTCCTATATTTAGCTATAGCTCTGGCTGTAACATGAAAACCAGAGGTCACATAACCAATAAAGCTAACATGCAACATGTACATGAGTGACAGCCACTAGTCACTCATATACTTTACTATATTTTAAAGGTCCCATATAGTATAGAGGCAGATGTCCATGTGTTGTTTGATTATAAAGCAGGTCTAGGTTCTATATTAATACTGTGAAAGTATCAAAGCCTCAGTCCACAGAGAAATGCACACAGCCTGTATTCAGAAACTGAGCCTTAAAACCAGCTGTCAGGACTTCTGGAACTTTGTGATGTCACAACAAAGCAGTCACCACTCTCATTCATGTCCGAAGCCCCGCCCACCTGGATCCACCATCCAGCCTTGCAGGATTGGGTCTCTCTGAGTGTTTACCTGAAATCTGCCATATTTTTATTCAATCACTCAAAAAACAGTCAGCCAATCAGAAGAGAGGCTCAGAGCCTCCTCTCTTCTGATTGGCTCGCTGACCATGTTTATACTAGAGCTCCAGAGAGAAGCCTGAGAGAGGAGATGTAAAACTACACTGAGATGGTTTTTGGTTCTTAAAACCATAAATATATCTTCTCATCTAGAATAAAAGTAAAAAGAAAAGCAACATGAAAAACTAACTTCATTACCACAAAAAAACTGTTAATGTGCTGTAGCGATAGAAATAAGTGAAAAAGCGTACAGAGATTTATACTTCCTCTTCTTTCAGTGCTCGTAGTTCAAACAAGTATCACTCTGCACAGCCTTATTCTCATGATGAGCTGTATTTAGCATTGAAATGTCAATACCTACCTGTGGCGCTGACGAAGGCAGATAAAACGAGCGTAGCTGTGGATCCTTGTCAGCGAGTTGTAAAACGGGTCACTCCATAAAGTGAAGTGTGTGATTAAAGAAAACTAACCTGGGAGACTCAGGCTGGAGCTGCATTTCCGCCTGTCTTCAGCCAACCAGCCGGGTCTCTCACCAGCTGAGGCCAGACAGCGAAGGGCCGAGCGTTTGATGAATGAGGACGAAAGGCCAAATTAGCCATAACTATAGCCCACAACCCCACGGGGAGTTGGAGGGGTTGAGAGTGAGAACTCAGGGGAAGTGCTGCTCATTCTCTCCTCTGGAGTCTTTCTAATGACGAGATCTGAGTGTAGCTTGACAGAAGATGCTCCGTGAGTAGCAGTTCACTACAGAACAGAGGTGAGATCATCATGAAATATTAAGACAACAGATTTCGAGTCAGTGAGGGTCTGAGGCAAACGGACATTTTAGGCAGAACCAGCTCTGTGTGAGGCCTTCACTTCCTCATCTCTTTGAAAGCTCTATCTTTATAATGGATGGCAGAGTCTCCAGGGAGTGTCTAGACTATGGTGGGAAATCTAAATGGTCGGAAAAGCCACTCGCATCCTTGGTAAGCGGTGTGGAGCACGGGAGAAATGCAGCTCAGGAAGGAGACGGGAAGCAGGGAGGACTAGGTCTGCACCCTGAGCAACGCCATCTTAACCCCAACTCCATTTTTCATCTCTAATTGAAGGAGATTCCTAGAAAGGAGACATGGGGATTATATAAATTTGAAATGCCCTCAAATTCTTATTTTCTTATACCTTTTTTCCTAATCCCTCCAACCCCAAGTGCCCTTAGCTTCAGTCCATGATGCTCTCTGTCTATATCCACATCACCCCCGCCTGTCTGCTGCTTACCCTCCGGTCTCTCCCTCTTTTTTTTTTTTTTTTGCCTCCACCCTTTTTCTTTTCCTCCCTCTCTCCCCCTCAGTTATTTATGAGCAGGACTTGAAATAGACTTCAGTATTTGATAAAAGCGTGATCCTTAATCCGAGTTGCCTGAGAAGTGCATTTCATTTTTATTTCCCATCAGAGATTGATGTAGGAATGGGGCGGTTACCCACTCTGTGATTGCTAATGTAAATCCATTGGGTTCTGGTGGACATGTAAGAAAGATATGGGGGACTTGTATGTGCATGGTAATGCCACCAATAAGAGATTGTGTGTGTGCAAAAGTAATGGAAAGGCTGGATTGTGAAGTGATGGAGATGTAAGGAACGATGCATCTCTTGATTTATCCAAAGTGCAGTTCAGTCCTGAAATAAAGCGTTCATCTAAAGCGTCAAAATATTTGCAAAATCACTAATTACCATTCTTTTCCTTCCAGTCAGCCGTTTTATTTTTCAGTGTGTTCACGTGTGCCTTTCTGAAGGAGGTGGAAAAATAAAATAGGAGATAAATTTAAGATGACAGTTGCGTCATGTGAACGAGGCCCCTTGCGTGTCGATTCGCTCAAAGCCAGCTGCAAATTTAACTCGGCCTCCTCATGTGGCAATTACTGATGGGGTAACATAACCTGAATCTATCTGCTCTGTTCATTACGGCAATGTTCTCTATAGCTGGCAAATGTTCTTTAGGATCCTACAGCAAATTAGCTCATCCCCCAGGACGTCTTTTGTTTTATTGGATGATCCAGCACTAGAGGATGCCGCAAAACCACTGGAGCTCTCCGCAGCCTGCC